ACAGCCTCAGTATCATACTCCGCCCCTGTAACTCATGGGGCATGGGTGCCTGCCATGCACTGAACACTGTGCGTCAGGAGAGGCTGCACTCCGTCAGCAATTATGGCTGAGACACTGCTGTCCCATTGATTATTGGCCAAGAAATACCCTTTTTCCCTCATTTATTCATCCTGTCCATTTGTTTGAAACTGATGGTGTTGAGCAGAAACACCTCTCCCATTTATAGAAAGATGTATCTGAGGAGGGACTGAAAAGGGAAGGAAGATCCCAAGTACAATCTGTCACCAGTCACTGGTGGCCATTCTGTAACTGCTTTCTTGCTCAGGCTGTCAAATAAATTTCAACAAACTTCAACTACATCCTGGTCATTTATGTAAGAAGTGTGCTTTTATTTCCTTTCATGTAAACCACCCTTCGACAGCTTCTACAGACAAAAGCAAATTTTTCTTTATGAATTTTATTTCCTCGGTGCAGCTCTCCTGCCTCTCAGCTGTTCCTGGACCTCCTGGGAGGGCACTGGTTATCCTCAGGACCTCAGGCTGATTGATTTGCTACATGCAAAGGAGATAATTTACTGTTCTGTGCAAAACTAGAAAGAATACTGAACCTTGCAGCTGGAGATCATATTACCTTCTCATCCATTTTATTTTTATATATATTTTTAAACTTCACAGGTACATGTACAAACCTCAGAAGGCTCTTTACCCTGATCCTCTCAGTTTAAGTGTCATGTGTTCACTGAATAAACCTAATGAAAAACCTAATATGGTGCACACATGACTCCAGGCAGTTACTTCCAACTTAATTCCCTGCAATGTTTCTTTTTATAACAACATAAGATAGTTTTGGGTTTTTTTTTTTTTTCTTAAGACATTCACACCTTCTATCTAATCTTGCTTCATCAAAATGTTCTTGAGAAGTGGAGGTAAATCATTTATTATGATCATTTCAAGGGAAGAGATATGGGACAAGTCATTTATTTCCTCTGCTTCTAAAAAAATCAACCTACTTTTTCATCTGTTGACTCATACTGGTGATTGAGACTACAGAAGAGTATAGCTTACTGTGAACTCGGTGCCTTTTCTATAAGCTGAAAACAAGAGAGTGACAGATGAGGTTAAAAGATGCAGCATCTGCAAATAAGGTGGAAAGATAGTTGCTATTCAGTAACTCATCCAGCATTTACTGTATTTACTTTGTGCATGACATTATCTGTAAGATTCTATAAGAAATAAAAATATAAATGGTGTCTATTCTCTGGAGTTAGACTCTGGTAGGAAAGATAGACTTGGGAGAAAAAAAAAAAACTACACTGAGCTAATTTTCCTAAGGGAGAGAAAATGTTCTAAAGAACAGAGGACAGACTAATACCAGAAGTAGGAAGAAGGCTGCTTATCATTTAGGCTCTGACACTGGCTTTGTGACTTGAGCAAGGTACTGAACTACTCTGAGCCTTGGTTTCCTCAACTGACACTTGGGATAACAATATCTGCTTTTAGAATGTGTTTTTAAAATTAAAATGAGGGCACAAAGTTTCATGTAGGCAGAAAGAATAAGTCCTGGAGGTCTGTTGCACAGTATGGTTTTTATGATTAATGTACTATATACTTGAAGTATGCCAAGAAAGTAGATTTATAAATATTCTCTCTATAGAAAGAATAGTGAGAATGGATTATGAAGTGATGGATATGTCAATCAGTTTGATTCAGTCTTTCTACAATGTACACATAACAAAACGTCACATCGTACTTAAGTATATACAATAAAAAAATAAAGAAAGGGGACCAGCAGATGGCTTAATGGACTGCCATGAACTTGACCACAGCTAAAGTCTCGGATCCAGTGGCTCATAACTCATACCACATGCTTGCTTGCCCAAAATTCCAAGAAGTGAATGGAGAAGAAGGGATTGCAGCATGGCCATCTCCCAGGAGGTGATTTTTTGCTTTCTGTCTCTTTGTCTCTCTGGTGAGCACATGTGCTCTGTAGCAAAAATCTCTCCAAAAGAAAGAAAGAGAGAAAAATAAAGAGAAAGAAAGAAAAAATAAGGAAAAAAAAAGACAAAGAAAAAGAAGTTTAAAAAAAAAAAGAAAAAGAAAGAAGACAAAATCAGGGTAATAAAGCTGAGGCATCTAGCACAATGTCTGGTTCTCAAAGAAATCAGTTTGAGTGAATGATGTAATCAATCACATGACCATGACTATGACTTGAAGAGCAGGGAGATTTGGCTGTTAGATGAGATCATTAAAGAAAGCATCACAAAGAGTAGATATAAGATGAGCCTTGCAAAATGAGCTAGGATTAAAAGATGGAGAGAAGGCGATTCAAGTGGAATATATAAACAGGTGTCTCTTTGCAAGAAGAAAATATTATTAGGGAAGGATAGAAGTAAGAAAGGTTTATTCAATGAGTAGATATGTCTGGACAGGGGAGGGTCCCACTGGGAACTGAAGGAGACGTGTGGTAGCATCAGACCACAGAGAGCCTTGAATGCAAGCATAGGGGCTGACAGAACATTAGAAGTGGCCAGGCCTTAGATCTAATTAATTTCTTACAAATGAAGATATTGAAATACACTCAACATTACACAGGTAGTAAATCTTTCCGATAACAGCCTCATGTTATTTTCCTCATGCAGTGTTTCCTTTTTCCTTTTTTTTTTTTTTTATATATTTGGAACCAACCTTAAATAATCTTTTATTATATCGCCCCCCCAAAAAAATAATAATTTTCCCTAAAAGAATACATTTTTATGCCTTGCTTATAGATTTTTACCAAAAAACTTTTAATTTGCTTTGAAACTTTGTAAGTATGGATTTTTACCAAAACACTTTTAATTTGCTTTGAAACTTTGTAAGTAGAGTTACCTATATTCACCTAATTCTTATTCTTTCATAACCTTAATTTTAATAAGCAATTTGACTCATCATATACCAACTATTTTTTAACTATACATTTTTTAACAATTTTTCTAAAGGTAGAACAAATTAATCTTATCGATCTGATTTTTTTTGTCTCTACAAGAGTTAAAAGCCAAGCAGAATACTTTACACTTTATGTTAATCAAAGTATTTTAACTGAAAAGATGACAAGCATTTTATGAATATTAATTTAACAGAGCAAAATTCCTTTTAAGAGTTACATTACCTGAAAATTTATTTTTATTATTTATACATTTAATCACTCTATATCATTCAGACTCACCTGGCATGTGGCATATGTCAGGCAGTGTTTTCTAATCAGTGCTATGAAGCCCCATGTTTCCACAGTGTCTACCATATGGTAAGGAGCAGGGAGGACCATGCTGAGAACCAGTGAATATACCAGGGTGTTACATGAGCATTTCATTTGGGACTGTAAAAGATCTTCCCAATTTAAAGAAAGAAAAATATTGCCCACTTTGCTACAAAATGTGTGGGTGGTTTTGTTTTTTTTGTTTGTGTTTTTTTGTAGAGTGGGCCTTTTAGGATTTCAAAGAGTAAAGTAACATAAGTAATGCAGTGTTTTAGAACATGAAGCCTGGCTATTTTCATAAGCGGTTAAAGCAAGAGATACTTGCCTCATCTTCTTAAAATGTGCTATAAATAGAGCTTGTTTTACAAACAAACATGTACCTGATAAAAAGAATATCAGAATAAGGGATAACTACTCTAGATATCTGGGAGACCTGTTATTTTTGTAAGTTAATGTTGAGACTCTCCTGTCTTTTTTTTATTTTTTATCTATTCATTCATTTATGTTTTTTTGTTTTTGTTTTTGTTTTTGTTTTTGTCTTTAATTTTACCAGAGGGAGCGAGAGAGAGAGAAAGTGATAAAAGCAAGCCACCATGGTGGTCCAGGACTTGAACCATAGTCAGCCATATGGGAGTGTCCAGCACCTTCACCACCATTCCACCTGCTGGTCCCCAAGGCTATCCTGTCTTAACATCATTGACACTGTTCATTTTGACCTCATGGGAGAAAGTAACAGAAGGGACGGGGGGTCCAGAAGAAAATACATGCTTTGTTCCTCGATTTCCAATGTGATTGTGTCCTGATGAGCCCATTGTTCATGGAAAATATCCTAAGTTGAAAAGGCATTCAGTAACCCAATAATCCCATCCTAAAGATGAAAACTTGTTGGGGACCATCTGTAGGCACCAACTCAGAGACTGTAAAGACAAACTTTGAATTAGATGTCACAGTTGGCAGGTTTGCAGGAGCTGAGAGTGATTCTTTATACTCAGATGCCTTATAAAGTCCAAAGCTGACTGCCTGCGACAAGTTTATGTCATACACAGGGAACTCAAAAAGTTCATGGAAAATGGAATTAAAGTGTGAGTTTATTTTGGTACAGAAAAACAATTTTTAAATCCATGTATAGTTTTTTTCCTCCACAATACACATTTTCCATGAATTTGTTAAAGTCTCCTCATACCTAAGTCCTGAATCCTAAGAAGACAGGTTTTGTAAGAAATCAGACTCAATTAATGGCCAATCAATCAAGCAGCAAATAAATTGATCACATTGGGTTTTACAGCCCAGGAGCTATAGTGCACAGAGGTGTGCATGTGCCCAAGTGTATGTGTGTGTGCACATATATGTGTATATGTGTACATGTCTGCATGTGTGAGTTGCTATTTCATTTGATGCTCAAAACAGTCCTGAAGGAGGCCACTTGCACCACTATACACATGAGGAAACTAACTCAAGGCTCTGCCACTTGTCAGAAGTCCCATAAATAATAATGGCAAAACTGACTTCAAGCCAGATCTGTATCCAAAACATAGCATGTCACAGGCAAAGAGTAAGGGGGCAAAAGCCTGAACTCTGGAACATCGAGAAAGGCTTGTTCAGGGAGAATGTTGGGACCAATTTCACTTTAGTCAGTCTTAATAAATGAAAGCAGAAAAATAAGGTTAGAAAAGCAAATGGCTCGTATACTAAGAAATATAGCACCTGCCTCACGAGATCTGACCTATCGCTGGAGAAATAACCTCTCCATCTCTGCTCCTTTTCAGCTCTTTGTGAGAGAACCTGAGAAAAGGCTGGGAGTGCGAGGAGACATCCGCCAACACCCTTTGTTTCGGGAGATCAACTGGGAAGAACTTGAAAGAAAGGAGATTGACCCACCATTCAGGCCCAAAGTGGTAAGGACTCACCCCTGGGACTGTTTGGTTTCATTCTCCTTCTTTCGGAGGCTGTCTGCCTTATCCTGATAGCTATAGCTCCTCTGCCTGCCCAGAGCCTCTATTTCCCACCCTCTCTCATCCTCCAGTAATAATATGCTTCTTTAATACTGGCTACATGTTTCCAAACATTAATCTCTGTCATCCACTTGTACCTGCATGAAGAATGAATTGCTGGGAACCAGCAGTTAGCATAATGGCTATGTCGCTGGACTCCCATGTAGTCAACTGCGGTTCGCGTCCCGGACCCGGTGGCTTAAAACTCACGCCAGGCGCGTGTGCGTGTGTGCCCAAGATCCCGAGAGGAGAATGGAGGAGAAGGGATTGCGGCATGACCATCCCCCCTGGGGGGTGATTTCTCACTTTCTGTCTCTATGTCTCTCTCTGTCTGGCGAGCGCACGTGCCCTATAGCAAAAACCTCTCAAAAAAAAAAAAAAAAGAAAAAAAGAATGAATTGCTGAGTATATGTCCCTTAGTTTGAGTATGTACCAGGAGTTTTCAGAAAGTTCATAGAAATGGCATATTATTAAAAACTATGCATGGATTTCAAAATAAACTTGTATTTTAATTCCATATGTTCCACGAACTTTTTGAAGTCCCCTCATATTTGGGAGGAGTGACTATCAGAGGAGATGGGTTTTTGCACCTGATACACACATATTTAATGTTCATTGTCTGGTTGGCCAAAATTTGTATACAAATCTTACCTCCTGTGTCAGTAATTTTAAAGCCATTTATCTACATGATATTTATTAAAATTTACCCAATATCTGTAATGTGTTCATGTAACTACATTCCCTAATGGCAACTGTTAGACATTTTTCAGTTTAAGGAGTAAATAAGTTCTTAGGAAAGATAGATCTCTAAATTGCTATGTACTCAGTGGCAAGTCACTAACCTATATCAGAAAAGGCAACAGCCCGGCCCGCAAGCAGATGGGCCACCATGAAATGAAGAAAATAAAGCCAAGTTAAGATGAACAAAGTTCTGAAGACAAATGATGATGACAAGTTCACAATAATGCGAATGTACTTAATACCACTGACCTGTACACTTTTTAAAAATGATTAAGTTGACGAGTTTTATGATAAGTATCTTTTACCATAATTTTAAAACAAATAATTTTTTAAGTCAAGCAGAGTGATTAATTTGCCAGCTCTAACTATTCCTGGTGATTGCTAGGAATAGGTAGTAATTTCCTGGATAGACATGGACCATCTCTACCATGTCTATGCACTGAAATGTCACAGGTTTGTGAGTTTTGAAACAAAGGGTTCACCCTAGAAAACAGACACAGTTGTTAGTTCAGACAGTGAATGTCTGGAAGAAACAATTCACCTTGTTCCCAGGGTTGGAATAGTTATTCTCAACATTTGTCCCAAGCTCTGAGGATGTTCTGAGTGTTCAACAGGCTGGCTTCTAGCACTCTTGCTATTGTTAACAGTGTCATATCTAATACATAAATTATTCATTTGTATGTGATAAAATGAGCTTTTGCCTGGTTTTAGCTATCTGAACAATAAATTCATGTCTCCCCTTCCACTGCAAATTAACAATGACTTGATAGTTTCCACATAGATTTCAGAACTTTGATCTAAGCTTGTCCTATAGGACAATTTCTGGTTCTTCCGGTAGGAAATAATTTTGCTGATCAGTCCTCTGAACAACCACTGGCCTCAGCCACAAGCTATGACCTTCAGCAGTTCAGGTGTTCCCTTGAGGCTAGGAAGGGCATAACTCTTAGTTATGTTCTTATAATCATGTGCTTGTGCTCAATCTTAGAAAGATGAATTGTCTGCACACTGAACAGTTTTTATGACAAGATCTTTGCTCTCTCGTGCTCACTCGCTTTCTCTCTCTCTCTCTCTCTCTCTCTCTCTCTCTCCTTCTCTCTCTCTCTCTCGTCAATGGACCAATAGTCTGAAAGGAGCTTGTCCCTGTCTATGATGCTGTCTATGGAAAGGAGTCTATGATATTTGATAATAAAGTAAATATGATCAGAAAAATCAATAATAGCAAAAGATCCTGAAAACAGAGCAGGAATATATAATCTGTAAAATTCCTTTCCTCCTTCTTTCTATCTGCTCCCACCCCCCCTACACACACCCATTCTCACTCCACCTTCTGTGCCTTGTAGACTAAAAGAGCAAAGGTTAAATCTGGGCTCACCACTTTCCGAAGGTTGCTTCATGTAAACTATGAACTAAAAACACTAGATCCTATTTGGATGCATACAGTGGAGTTCCTTTATATGAATTTGATGGTATTATTGGTGCTAGAGTCCATAGAGAGAGTCATTAAAATCCATCTATGATCAATTCATTTCATCTGCAAATGCCAAAATTGTTGTACACAGATTATAATATAGATAACGAAATTCACGATAATGGAGTTGCAGTTGATTTTCTTCCCTTTTTTCTCTCCCTTTAAACTCTGATGAAGAAATCACCATACGACTGCAGCAATTTTGACAAAGAATTCTTAAATGAGAAACCTCGGCTGTCATTTGCTGACAAAGCTCTTATCAACAGTATGGACCAGAACATGTTCAGGAACTTTTCCTTCATTAACCCAGGAATGGAGAGGCTCATATCCTGAGTTTTGCTTCTCTGTGGATGCAAAGGAATGTGCTGTCTTTCTGGAAACTGGTTCAGGCAACACTTCATGGGCTCTTTTTTCAACATGAAAGTAAAATGAAACACTTGGCAATAAAGACTGAGACCTTTGAGCTCCTCATGTGACCTTTTATCTGTAGCAGAAACCAACTCTACTTCACTAATGACGACACCTTGTTCTAACTCCTGGTACCTTTCACAGACGTTCTTGAACTTAGGTCATTACTAACTATAGTTATTTACTTGAAAGCTGGTTCTTCACACTGTGAATGATTTGAAAACTTAGCACTGCACAGAACTATGGGTCTTCACTTGGGCACCAGCTGCTGATCTGTGAAATGCTTGGTGAATCAAGGAGCAAGCTGAGTGCAAAGTTCTCAAGACTGAGACAGCCCATGGCCCGGTCAGTAGTGGATCTCATTCAGCCACAGACAAGTAACTACTAAGCCATCTTCTTCTGTTTATATCTGTGAAGGTGTAAATGCCTGGAGGGGAAAGCCCAAAGTAGATTTTTATGGGAATTCTTCACAATAAACATAGCTTGTAACTCGAGATTTACAAATCCATTCATTCTCATGAGCCATGAACCTCATGGAAAAAAAGAAAATAGAAACTGGGGCATGCTCTTATCAGTGACAGGGAAGGTTTACCAGATCTCCGATGCTGGCTATATTATCATCATAGAAATTATATTTAGAATTCATCAGAAAAAAAACACTGACTCCTGCCAATAAAACCTTTCTACCCATACATTCTCAGTTGATTTTAATATCATGTTATAAAAAGGAAAGGAATGAAGTCCATAATTCTTCTGAGAGAAAAGAAAACCAAAACCTTTATCATACATTACTGATGATTTGATCACTTATAAATCTCTCCTTAGGCAACATTCAAGATATGTGACCTGTGCATGCTATTTGCAGTAGTCAATCTCTTTTAATTAGAATTCTAACTATACATTTTGGAAGCATCTATGCTGTTTGTATATTTTGATAAAATGTTGTGACTTAATGACAAAAGAGGTGGATGTATAAAAATTGAATAAAAAAAAAATAAAAATGCCTCAATAATTTTTCCTTCTTATCTCCTCAAGAACCTAG